ATTTGAAGGACCACTGGAGATTAATAGCAACTTAAGTAAAGCAAAAAGATTGTTTGAAGGACAGATTGTTGGTCCAGAGTCTATAGCCATAGACAGTACAGGTACATGTAAAAACACTCTTTCTAATGGCCCGCGGGAAATGGGCGGCAGAGGGAGGGATGGGGATGACGTTATTCCTGGAAAAAATTAAGTGACGTGTGCAGGTTGCATTCATTCTGAAACTCTGACCCTATTTCCTATTTCAGACCAAAATAATCATGTGATTTTTCTTTTCCTGTTTCAGACCTGAAACTATTGCTGTTCAATTATAAAAAACATAGTGTGCCATTCCAGACCCAGCAGATTCCAGAAAGAACAAAAACCCTGCCAAATTTCACACTCAGTCTCGGAACAAAATAATTGAGAGCTCAAAAATCAGTGCCCTTCTAAAGGGCTGCATATACCTATTTTGCTTGTGATTGCTTCCCCAGTGATTGGTTGACGGCTGAAATGGTCTGTGAGAGTCTAGTATAGATCATGGAAATAATGTGATGATGGCATATTTGTTTTTGTTTCTCTCTCAACTGATTTTCCAAGAAACTTCACTGGAAATGGATGTTGAAAATCATCGATGTTATTGTAAAAACAAAAAATTTTTATGAGGAACAATAATTTTTTGATGGTCTATAAGGATTTAGTCCTTCGAGAAAGCATTGTCTAATTTATATGTAGGGGAGTAACCTCAGTACACAAGTACATTATTTGCCTTCAGTTATGTTATGCTGAATCATTTCAGCCACAGGAATTTTACTGAAAAATGCTGTTTGAAGCTGGTTATTTTAGGGGCCGACCATTTGACTTTTGAGAGGGGGGCGGGGGCTAAACATGATTTTGAAAAAAAAGTATCCTGCAGAATGATTTCAAGGTGGAAAAAACCTTGCAAGGAAATTCCTAGCAGAAAAAAGTTCCAGCACTGAAAAAAAAATTTCTTATGGGGTATCATACTGGAAAAGAGTCTTGCACTGTTGTATGTCGGGGAAAAAATTATATCTCTAGAGGTTTGCAGGAAAAAATTCTTACCCAAACCAAATGACCCACATCCCCCTCCCCCTCAAAAGTCAAATGGTCAACCCTTAAGCTGTTTTTTTTTCATTTTCTGCAGTGTTTGTCTCTGTTGTTCTCATATATGGTTTGAAAGACCCCTTCTCCTTACACAAATATTTACCTTAATAGCATCAAAGTTGTTCATGACAATATAACAACAGTTACTGTTGACATCAAAGGTACTACAAGAGAGGAAGATCTACATAGGCTGTTCTGTTTGGTTTATGGTGTTAGTGGGTTAATGTTTAACCCTATTTTTTTAACCCCATTTTTTTTATGTGTAACCCTTGATAAGGTGCTTAACATGCAGTATTTTCATACCTTGCAAGGTACACTTTATACTGGCTTATATGATGGCAGAATTGTCAAACTTGAAGGAGACAAAGTGATAGATGTTGTTCAAACTGGCAAGCAACCTTGTGGTATGTCTTTTTCCTATGTATATGTTTCATAAACAATTAAGTCCAGTTTTGAATTAAAAATTACTGCTGAATACAACATTAACGACACATTTAATACAGGCGGGTGAGCCTCAACTTAAAGTAAAATATTCACAAATTCCAACAAGTAAGTGTTTGAAATAATTTGGGAAATACACAATAGACAGAGTAATAAACTGGTCTTAATTCTCAGACACCTCTTTTCTCTGTGTTCCTCCTATTTCTTCAAATTAGTCCACCTTTTTCTCCTCACAGGAGACATCACTGTTTGTTAAGAAAGATTGTTTTTAATATTCAAATTTGTAATGAGGAAAACAAAAGAATCTTTTGTTACAAGAACAAATGCGCTTCTCGTTGGCACAAAAATATCAGTACATGTAGGTGACACCAGCATGAGTATCGTCATTGTACATGGTACCACGTATTTCCTGATACTTCTCGTCCAAGTTTTATCACATTTCTGTTCTTCCACATTACCTTTCTTCTGTCAATGTCGTCTTTCTCACTCTTCTTCTCTCATGGCCCAGCTACCTTTGTTTCAAAAGTTTTTGTCACTTACTTTCTTCTTACAATCAGGCACTCTTCGTGGATCCTTTAATCAATACTGAGTCTATTTACTGCCATTGCAGGAACTCTAGAGCTTGAGCAGACTTGTGGTCGTCCCCTGGGAATGCGCTTTGACAGATATGGAATCAATCTGATAGTAGCTGATGCATATTATGGACTACTTGAGGTGAATCCCAGGGCTCGAACAGTTAACACCCTTGTACCTCCTGCACCGGGAATAAATGGCAAGCCATTTCGTTTTGTTAATGACCTGGACATTGCACGTGATGGTACAATCTACTTCACCGATTCAAGCACTAAATGGCAGAGGTGCCAAGTGCCTCATATAATGTTTGAAGGAGAAGCTACCGGCAGATTAATGGCATATCACCCCAAAACTGGAGACATGGAAGTATTAATGGAAGGCCTTCACTTTGCGAATGGTGTACAGCTTTCACCTGAAGGAGATCACGTCCTTGTGGCAGAAACTACTATGTCAAGGATAATGAAGTAAGGATCTTGTTTTTCAATATTGCCAGTTGTTGGCAGAGACATCGCTTGATATTGTGCTTTTCATAAACACACGAACTCTAAAGTTCAAAAGCCAGCTTCACAATATTAATAATAATTATTGCATTCGTAGTTGCCTTCAATCATAATTACCATCACAAGCAACGAACATTGAAACACAGAAACACAAAAAAGATCAAAATCTACCAATCACAAATCACAAAACATGACCTTTTGAACCCGTTAAAGTAAAGTTCTGTTTCCTAAAAGGTCTGCTAAGATGATTGACAGCAGCAAAAAACTCAAATGTCATTTGGCTTTTGAACTTCAGAATTCGCATGTTTTTCAAAAGTGCAGTAAAATATTGTGCATAATCCTGCAACCAAAAACGTTGGCAAACATTGACATTTGTGTGATGTCATACTCTCTCTCTCTCTCTCTCTCTCTCTGTTCAGATATTATATCAAAGGGGAACATGAAGGCAAGTCTGAGGTTTTTGTGCAAAACTTACCTGGAGTTCCCGATAATATTCGCTTGAGCAGTCGAGGTGGCTACTGGGTTGGTATTTCCATGACACGAACTGAAACCACCCACCTGATACATCAGTATCCCAGAGCAAGGAACTTTTTGGCAAAGGTAACAATCGATTGTTTAAGTCAGAGTACTGTGTTTCAATGTCATCTACATTCTCCCAACTCTTTTACCAGGGTTAGCTTGTATCTCAAGTCTGAAGAAAGTGTAAAATCCACTAGTGTTTGGTGGTACTCATACTTTTTTGACCCAACTCCATTAACAGCATAAGACAGTTCAGTGTAGGCACATGTTTGTGTGTTCCATCTCCTTTTTTGGAGACCAGTAACTAATATTATAGATATACTGGTATATAGAATAAAAGTACAAAAGTTAAAGTTCCCAACATATGGTTGTATTATTTACTTGTCTTGCTGTGTGGTTTGGCAACTGAGCACCCTGCTTTAGGGAAGAAATCTCAAAGTCAAGAAATGAAAAAAATAATTTATTAATAAACAACTTGAAGCAAATCTTCAAATTATTAATAATCAAAACATGAAAATTAGGTGTACAGGAGTTTAAACAGTCATGTAGCTGCAGTTTTAGTCTTTATGTTAAAAAAAAGATAGATACACATTTACAGTAAGATCGATTCTTAAAATATGGTAATCACTTGTTCAAATGTTGTCCTTTTCTAGCTCTGTTTACTATGAGTTATAATATTGGTAGTTTTGTAGTACTAATGTCACTCATTATTGAACATGGTTATAGGTATTCTCTCTGACATCACTTGGAAGTCTTCTCAGTAAACCTGGACATGGTTTTATTGTGGAACTGGATGAAAATGGTCAAATTACCAGAAGTCTGCATGACCCAACAGGAAAAGTTGTACCAGATGTAAGCGAGGTACATGATGAAGGTGATACTCTCTGGCTTGGTTCCTTCAAGGCTAAATACATCGCAAAGCTTGAACTGAACAATTGAACACACTGACATGGCCAAAGAATATCATCATTCCACAATAAAAGGATAAAAATATAGAGTCAAATCACAGAAGTGTAGATGCTAGATTAGAAATAGCTGTTTTGTTGGTTAGCAAACAAACTCTAATGCCATTGAAATGAGAACAAAAAATGGATAGAAATGGAGACAAATTACATGTAATTGAATGTATTCTGACAATGACACAAAGAAAATTTTAATTTTCATAATAAAAAATCAATGTTCATAACATGTACATTTGAAATGCAGCAACATCTGTCTTGTTTGAGTGAAGGGGGGTGGGGAGGGGGAGGTAAGTTTCACCCAATATTTATTTGGGATAAAGGATTTGGAGAATCAAAGATTAAAATTTCTGTTAATATGTAGCTACCAAATCTAGGGGGTGGCATACAGCAGTTCATTTATGAGGAACTGTTTTCAATGTTTAATTTATTTCTCCTCAACTCCACATTTAATTTTTCACTTGACAGGCCAATGCTAAACTTGACATATTGTAGCTACAAGCAGTTGTAAAAATATTTTACCACCATATTACATTTCTCTTCCAGAAGGTTCATGAGTAAAAAATGAGATTTTACAAACATCATACCATTCCACACACCTTCCAACAGATATTTCACTTGGTACTCAAAAGCCACTGTAAAAAAACTTCAATATAACAATCAACAAGCAAAGATCATTGATTCCTTAGCTTTTTTCTATTTCTTCTGTAGTTAATACAAAATTTGAATCAAGCAGTAGGGTCTCACACACAACAAAATAATGTTTACTGACTGCAAGATGGAAAAACTTTCACTTTGGTCAACAAAGTATTCCACAGAACCTTCCACACTGGCTGTACTGTTGTTGCAAATTTATATTCAACTGGGACTGAACTCTCAGTTTATATAATTCTTTTAAAATATCTACCTATTTTAAACTAGGAGTTACACAGTAACAACTTAAATACCTAAGAAACCTTTGCACCAAAGAGTAAATGAAATTTGCTATACCTACAGCAAATTAAACTTTGAACTTGATGCTCACAAAGTTAACAGTCCTTGGAAATTTTACATTATGTTGTTTTCTTGTAGTACTTAGAGGTAAAATAGTGCTCCTTGACTAACAGTTGTACACTTGGATCTTTTCTGTTGTAGATGTTGTACAATCTAGTCATTGAATCTCTTGCCAAGGCATGATACTAAAGCAGACATTCTTCTCATAAATAACAATCCTGATTTACTTATCTTGTGCATAGAGTTCAGTGGGATACTCATGTGGATATTTTGCTACATGTTCCATGCATTCCTCATGTTGTTTTTTCAAGCGAGCTGGTAGGGTGTCATAGACATCAGTAAACATGTCCTTGACAGGCGGCTTTAGTGCTTTTTCAGCTCTTGAAAATGCTTGCATGACTTGCTGACGAGCATCACGTTTCCACTCTTCCTCCATCTCCTTATCCCACCATTCTTTTTTCTCCATGTAATTTCTAGGTAATTTAAAAATACCGTTCCTGAGTCCAGAAAATTTTAGGCCTTTCCAAGACATCATTTTTTTTCTAAAGGGCATGCATCATACATCAAAAATGGAATTTAAGGTTGTTTTTTACACTATATTTTTGTCTGTAAAAGTTAGCTTGCAATCATTTCTATTCATTCATTCATACCAACATCATCAGATCTGTCATGCATCTTTTATAGACTTTCTCTTTATAATTATTTTTCCAAGGTTTTTCTGGATAAAATGAATGCCAAGATAGTTATGGAACATGAAGAAAAAATTAAAGCAAGGATAAATAAATTTATTGAGCCACAACTCACTAAGAAAAAAACGATTTGATTTATCAACTACTCCCAAATAATTCTGAAAGAAAATGCACAGAGATCAGTTGGGAGAATTTGTCGGCAGATATTGGGGGTTAAAGGGTTAGAAAGTCAATCAGGGAAGCTACTCTCAGAGAAAAAAAAAAGTAGTACAAATCCTGGTAATGGAAATTTCAAGGTACCGTTTACAAACCTGAGCCTTCCAATAGGATGGTCTTCCTTGTCCCAGTAATTAACTTCTTTCAAAGAGCGATAAACTGAAGAATCATCACTAGTGCTATGATGACCAATTCTGTCAAAAAGGAGGGTAAGAAAGTTATAATGGATGGTATTATTGATTACTTGGCCAAAGGCAGATAACAAGAGTAGGGAAATGAAAAGGAGCAAGAGAAAATCCTTCACAACTCAGGGAACAGTTTCGTTGCACCCAACTACCAAAATGATGTTCCCAATTATGTCAGAATTGTTTCGGATGGTTTTCTCCATGCTTAAGAAGTCTGATTGGTTAATTTGGAGCTGCCCTGAAAACTGTTTATCTGTTTGGATATCTTAGGGGAACTATGATCATCTCAGAAGTTTTAGGTGGCTTAATTTTTTCGATTCATCCAAAATTGTTAGCCACCCTGATGGGCCTGGTCAAAAGTTTGAGGACATGGTGTAGCCTAGGTGATGTTTTTTCTAACAGAATTTTCAAGAGACCTTATTTTTTTTTACAAAAATAGCGATATCTTGGTTATAAAATACGAAAAAACACAACCTCTGAAAATCGCAGGTAAGTTACTAGAAAAACTCCAAACATCTTAGCGAGTAGAGTGATTATCCAGAAATTTTTAGTCTTTGTTCAGATTTGGAAAATTTTAGGCAATATTTGCTCCTTAGAACAGTTATTTTACCAAAAAAAGTCATTGGGTGCCTCTGTCAGTTAATAAAAAATTTGCACTTAATGTTAGGCTGTTCTGTGTAACCAGGCCCTGAAGAATTAACTGTTAGCACTCCAACTGAAACAACTCAGGGCAAATACGAATATTATTCTCAACTATTAATAGAAAAAAAAAGTGGGCAGTAAGCTTGCATCACTGGCAATGGAGATTAAGAGAATTTGGGTCTGGAAAAGTATGTTACTTTGTACAAAACCTGTTGCAAAACTCATCATCGGTAATACACTGTAAGAGAAATTTTAGTAGAAAATAATTACTAGGGTTGAGATTTTAGATGTCCTAGGTTAAGGAATTAAAAGTGGGAAAACCTATGCATTTTTCTTGAAAAACACCATCCTCATTATGAGTGCAGTCCACAAAATAAACATACTTTCTGATTCTAACATCATCCATACTGGAATTTCACAGCACGGAGGAGATCAAAGTATAATTTTTTTTTCAAGAGAACAATATACTTCTCTGTCTAACCTGTAAGTCATGGCTTCAATCAAAACAGGTCTTTGTTGATTAACTGCGATATCACGTGCTGCTTTTGTTACGTTATAAACTGCAAAGACATCATTGCCATCCACGCGAATTGCCATCATCCCATAGCCCTGGCCTCGCCCAGCTGAAAAAAAAAATGCAAGATGACCAAGTGTGAGGTCAAGATAGCTTGAAAATGCCTACGTTCTTGCTTATACTATGGCAAAGTCACCAATTTCTAGCCACCTCCATCAACAAGCCTGGTCAATAATGGATTTATTCTAAATACAGTCAACTCTTTCTAAGACGGAGATGTCTGTCTTATACAGAGTCAAATAAAGAGGGTAAAGAACGGTAGTGACCAACTCTAGGTGTCTGTTTTATAGAGATGTCCGTCTTAGAGAGGTGTTGGTTAAGAGAGAGTCAACTGTATGCAGCTAAAAGAAAACAATTACAGCAGAAATAAAGCAGGCAGGATAGGCCTCCTTTGCTTGCTTGGTTAGGCAATCAAAACACAGGATTAACTTGATCTTCAGCCAATTAATGATTAGAAATACGGCAATTTCAGATCCTTGTGAAGGATGATGTGAAATGATGTGGTCAATCTCAGCTGGGAATTCACTGAAATACTGTTGTGTGATGACTTTTAACTTTTATAAACAATACTGGTTTACACACCTATTCCATCCCCTCTGTATTGATCAACTGTAGGGGTAGATATTGCATAGCCATTGTTACGACTGTTGACACAGACAAAAGGTAAAGTTGCTTTTGAAAAGACCAGTCACTTTTAATCTACAAAAAATTGATAAGTCAACTAAGGGTGCATTTCTTGGGGGGGAGTGGGGGGGCGGGGGAGCTCTAAGATGTTTTGATCTCAGACTCTTTGGATTTGTCATGAGAACAGAAATGAAATATCTGAAAATTGATTCTTTAGCAATCTTGCAATACTGGCACAAGCCCCCCACCCCACCTAACTCACATACCGTATTTATTCGAATAAGCGCCCAACCTCAAATAAGCGCCCATCCTAAAGGCAGAAAAAGTTAATAAGCGCCGAGCCTCAAATAAGCGCCCACCCCCTCCTCCTCCCAATCAAACTCAAATAAGCGCTCACCCCCACCCCACCCACCCGAGTGAATAAATTCTAATAAGTGACTTCCCCGAGGATGGAGTTTTCTTCAGAGTATTTTACAGAAACCTTGCTTTGTTACTTCTTCACGTTTTGTAGCCTGAATTTCATCCGATTACTTCGAGTCGTTATTACTCTCTCAGTAACGTCTGAATCGACCGGCCGTTAATGCCGTCCAGTGACATCACTATTCCTTGACCTTTGCTTTAATTCATGCAAAAAGTAAAACACGACTTTCAAGTGGCAAACCGAGAAATATTGTTTGGAAATGTCTGCATGATACAGAACTACTTTATTTTTTTCGATCGTAATTCATGTTTAACGTTCAAACTATCAACTGCATGCCGTACAACTCTGAACTGGTTGTATTCTACAATCAAACTCGGTCGCAATCACGAAATGAAATAAACACACACACACGGAACACTTAGTTCAAAAACACAATGATTTGCTTTAATTGAAAAGAAGCTGTTTGGTCCTTAACGAAGAAAAAGAACAAGGAGACAAGAAAGAAAAGCTAACAGAATCATTACACTTGACGGTAAAAATAGCAAGAAGGTCGAATTATAACATTGATCTCAGAAAACTTCGCGTAAACAAAATCACCGGCCGCCATAACCACAGAGCGGCTCTATTAAAATGAAAAACCTACCGACTCTTTGCAATGATTCTTCATTCGCAATTCAATTTAACATTTCAGTTTCGAAGACAACGGCAATTTTACTGTTTAAGATAAAGATTATGCTTATCGAAATGTTTGAACGAAACGAAAGAATGCCAGGGATGCGATCCGCTGAATATCAAGCGACAATCCCGGTAAAATTTTTCATAATTATACACAATTATGCGAATGTTTAGACAATCAACCAATCAAAATCACTACCCGGTTTTCGGGTAGTGAGTGACGTCACTGGACGGCATTAACGGCCGGTCGATTCAGACGTTGTTGAGAGGAGAAAACGACTCGAAGCAATCGGATGAATTTCAGGCTACACGTTTTGTTATTAGCATTTATTGTTTTGTTGCAAAATAAACATACTTCACTTGCTGAAAATGGTGAAATTTAATAAGCGCCCACCTCGAATAAGCACCCACTCTCAAGGTCCAAAAATTTAATAAGCGCCCAGGGTGGTTAATCAAATAAATACGGTAAGACAGGTACTGATATCTGCGAGGGAAGGGGATAGTGTGTGGGGACTCTTGAGATGATACATTTCTAAAGGTGACTTGTTCTCAGTTATTCCATTCTTATTCTGTAATGTAAGTTCCAGTGATGAAGATTGCTTTTATAATTTTATATGAAATTAACAGGTCATTTCTGAGCACTTAACCTCATTTTGAAAGTGAGGGTTTTTGGAAAATAAAAAATGGTCTAATTATTGTGGATTATTTTTGCTTGGGTCACGATAAAAAAAAGCTTGGTATACTCTACCAACAGTAATAATTGTCTGAAATGTCAGCCATCTCTTTGCTCCCGTTGGCTGACATTTCAGACTACACCAAAAAAAGTCACAAGAACTTTTAATGAATAAAAAGCTAAGTGTTTCTACAGATGCCTTTTTACCAGAAGAAAATAGCGGGAGCTTCCAAAGTTGCTGCGAAATTAAGTGCAGCATGAGCATCTCCTTCACTGGCTGCTCCTTCACCAAAGTAACAGATGACACAGTTTCCAGTGCCTGCTCTTTTTATTGCATAGGCATAGCCAGATGCTGCAACGTAAGAATCACAAGATGCTTTGTCACTGATATCCTTTATCTAATTTTTTTATAAAATTAATAATCATTGAAAAAGGTACAGGATTATTGATGTAGGGCCTACTAGATTTTTTAAAACTTTCTTTGTTTGAGAGTTATTGTATTTTGAGAGAACATAAGTCATCAAAATTAAATAACTGTTGTGGATCTCAGCTTGACAGCAAACTTTCTTCATTAACACTACCTCTATGTCTTTATTATTGGAATTTTCCTGACAAAAACAAACGGTGAAATGTTTGAAATTACCTATTATAATAAAATTAATACAGGGCTGTCATTAAGAGGCGGGGGCCGGGGATTTCACCCCGCTACTATGAACATGGTTCCCGGCTACTTTTGTAGGAAAAGAGAAGAAAAATAGAACAACAAGAAATCCCTAGCTATTTTATTCCCTGCCTCCTTGCTGCACTTACCCGGCAACTTGACATCTTAGTGACATCCCTGTTAATATCATTGTAAAAGATACTAAAAGGATAGTATTTTTAAAAACTTGTCTAACCTTGTGGCATTTGAGTAGCAAGGGTTGATGAAATAGTGACAAAGTTGAGTTCTGTAGAGCCATAATGAACAGGCATTTGTCGTCCCTTTCCATTGTCATTCTGATTAGCATAACACTGGTTCATGAAATCATCTAAAGAGAATCCTCTCCACATCAACACACCCGCTTCACGGTACTGACCAAGTACTACATCCTCAGGTGATAGAGCAGCAGCACTACCGAAGTGAGTAGCTTCTTCACCGTAGCTGGTCATATAAAATGATATCCGTCCCTAAATGATATTTAAGGAAATGTTTTTACACACTCAGCTGAAAGAAATGGTTTCCGGAATTTTGTGAGCTATAATTTTTTAACCAAGGTGTAGTAAACGCTTGTGCTGCATTATAAAATTTTTTATCTGTAAGGAACCTCTTTTAATATGAAATTAGATGGTTTAAATTTATCAGTTTTGGAGTAGAAGGTTTAATTACAATTAAACCTCCATTAAGCAGCTACCCAATAAGTGCAGTGTTCTCCTTATCAGGTGGTAACCAGTAAAATTCACCTCTTGAAGCAACACTTCTTACCGCCTGCAACTGCTTGAAGTGTTACTAAAATTACTGGTAAAAATTTGTTTCAAAAAATACGTAAGTTGTGTTCCAAGCCAAACCTCAAAAGAAAAGGAAGTAAATATGGAAAAACAAAAAGTATACACAGCTATTCTCTCTGATCACTTTATTTTTAAAAATGCTGACTGGTTCCTTTCGAAGCACTGCAGACGAACAATTTTTTCATGGGCTTCTGTCCCAATTCCAGACTTTCTCGACCAGCAGGAAACGTTTGCAACTTCCGCAAGGCCTTACTGGTCAAGAATGGTCCTTTACCTGCTAAGTTTACCACTTACCGGTTCCCCAAAGGGTGGCTTCTTTAATAGTGGAGATTCAATTATACTTTTTACTGGAAGTTTACTAAAATTTACTTGACACACTGTAAGTCTTACTTGTCGCTGTGACTCATATAGAATACGGTCCATTGTATTTAATAAGGTCATCTTCTTGTACATATCTTGTATTATCTCTTTGTCCAGCTGGCACAGGTAGGAAATAAAATGATAGAAAAATACTAAAATACATATAAAAAAATTAATAATTTATGTTTACTGTACACTGAAAAGTCACACCAAACAACACATCTGTCCATCTCTATCCCTACCCTTCCCACATAAAAGGAGGTGGGCCTATTTGGTGGCAGGCAGATCCATACCGGTTTCCACTGTTTTACCGAAATTGGTCAGATTTTTCATAATAGAATTAATCCATTTATAGCAAAAAGACAAAGCTTCATGAGTTGAAAACTGGAACATGGTTTGAACAATCAATAAGTACCCAGTCTGAATGACTCTGAAACCCTAGAAACGAGTCTTTGGGGAGTTAAAATTCCAAAAATTTCCCTGAGGAACATGCCCCCAGACCCCGCTAGAAGCTTGGGCTTTCAGCGCCTCAGAAAATCAGTCGGCATCTATTCAAGATCCGCACCTGGGTGAGCCTTGACAAATCATAGCACAAGACCTGCAATAGGCCTGAGATCAAGTTCAGCCATGACCACTACTTTGATTATTTTCTTCTCGGTAATCCTGATTTTTACTCCCTGGTCAAGCTTGTACATGCTGTGGTTCATTTCTTTCTCCTTGGTTTAAATTAAATTTTCCTAAACTGAATGTTCCAAACTTCTTACCAAAACTAATAATAGCACTGAATAACACCACATATAATCAATTGATTCCCTATTATCACCCTGACCAAAATACGCTGAAGTTTAAATTCCTTTATAAAATTCCGATTTTACCGAAAAATAATGGTTGTTTATTGGAAAATAGTATGTTCAATACATTATTTAAATTTTTAGGGGACAGGCCAAGCCCCCAACACTCCCACTGGTATTCTACCTTAGGATCGTGTGATTCGTCGAAAACATTTCCGTTACGATCCATGACTCGATAAACAGGAATCGTTTGACCATCATCGGGATTAACAAAATCCATTTTTTCGGTATAACAGGAATTCGTAGCGCCAGGAAATCTCGGTTTGTCTTGAAATTCATGTTCAGGGATTCCTCCGGCATCTGTCGTCGAATACAACTGCAACGAAATTTTACGCGTAAATTAGGGCTTGCACTTCTGCTAAAAGGCAACGGAGACGGTCAACTTACTCTTAAGGTCCTAAGAGCATTAGGAAGTGTCCTTAGATGGGATATTTTGCCGCGAGAGCCAAGTAACGTAGCCCTTGCCGACGCTCTCACCAACATCCACGTTGCGGCGGCCATCTTGTTCTTATTGTCGATGGTAAAATTGTACAGGGGTAGCGTGAGGAATTGCCAAGTTAAACTATATTTATGTTGTAAGGTAAAAAATAAACAGAATATTTAAAAATACAGTTCACTTTCAGAAAGAAAATTAAGGTGATTCTTTATTTTTAATTGAAAACTTAGAACCAACTGAAGAGAAAAAAAAATCCATCTTTTTATCTAAAATACCCCTACTCTTCCACCCCACCCTAACTGGAAAGAGAACTGTAACTACACGAGCCCGCGAACACTAGAGCAAATTCAAAATGGCGGACGGAGCAAGTGATGTAGCTGTTCCGAGATTTTCGTCAGAACTGAGATCAATGCGTTGTGAACAGTGTCTCTTGAATAAAACTGATGGATCAGCAAGCTTTTCACAAGGTACGGTTGCATTTTTTGTGCGGTTAAGTTTCAGGAGCATTCCACTTCGTGTTTTATGACTAGACTACTGAACTTTAATCTTGTTAAGAAATATAAAAGCCAACACATGTAGAATGTGCCATATTTATACCAGCCAACTCTCCGCCTGCGTGACTCTCACGCCTGCGGGTTGAAAACTTCGATCTCACGCCGGCTCACGCTTGCAGGCCATTTTCTCACGCCTGATTGAAAAATGTGAGTTGTTGCTGTCTTGTTTGACACAATTTCCAAAAAAAAGTTAACTCAGACCCATGTAAGGAACGAAAACCATGTGTAAAATGAATAAATGACAATACCTTCCTCGCGATCACTGATTTTGTGGATAAGCGTTTTCTCGATAACTTCGCCTTTGGCAGACTTCGGACCTCTTCAGAAGACTTCGGACGTCTTCGAAAGACTTCGAACTTCTTCGGAAGACTTCGGACTTCTTCGGGAATCTTCGGAAATGATTGTGTCGTCTTCAAAAATCCCAGCAATCCCAGGATAAAAATCTCACGCTTATATCTCAGAAAAAGTTGGCAGGTATACATATTTGTTATTGTTATGCTGGGTATCATACTTTCTAGGAAAAACTGAAGTAATTGCAGCAGCATACGGACCAGCAGAAGTTAGATCAAGCAAAGAGCTCATAGATAAGGCTACTCTAGAAGTTGTATTTAGACCAAAAATTGGTGTGCCTGGTAAGCATGAAATTCAGATTATAAATAATAATTTACAATTTTTTTAAAAGGTTGAAAAATCATAGGAAAAATACCTCTTTGTTTTCCTGTTACTGCAAGAGAAATTATACCGTACTCAGCTCTACTATCATCTGGGCGAGTGGTTTCTTTATGTAGCACTATTTGCTGTTATTACACTATTTTGCACTATTACACCGCTTTGGCTAGTTCCCAGTTCCTCCACCCTCATGTTTCAGTATCCGTTGGTCTTTGCTGGGGGGCTTCTATGGGTCCTATTCACCTCTGGGACTCCTGCAGGCCTTCTCTCAAGACCATTATTACAGCACCAGCAGTGACATTTGTCTCACCGTCAATGCTTCTGATTTCTGTAACAATATTTTTAGTTTTTTTTTTCTTTTTACCTGGGGGTGGGGGCGGGGGATGCAAGTTGTTAGCCCTACTCCCATCTTCCACGAAGACCAGGGGGTCACTCTTTGTTTAGTCTGAGCTCTACCCTTCAACCTTTTTGGCACTGGTGGCCCTACCAGGAATACAAGACTCCAGCCGACTTAGCTCTAGGGTTCATTGAGACACTCAAACTAGCCTATCAGGTAAAGGTGGTGACCCCTTTGTGAGCAGTCCACTCTACTTTGCTGTGCTCTAATTCAACTCAACTAAACTAGATCCAACTCCACTGTACTTAACTCATTTCTCCTTGATTCTACTGTCATTATCTCATCTATACTTTACTCTACCTTGTTTATGCTTCTCTGCACTCCTTTCTAACTTAACTCTCCTCTACTCAACTGCACTCTAACGGTTCAAATCCATTGTTTTACAGACTTTCTGCATTCAACCAACTGCATCTATACTTTATTACAATGTACCGCACATCATCTTATTGTTCTATGCTGTTCTTCCCCTACTTTTTTCTGCCTACTGCCTGCTACCAAACAACTCTATTTTGGATTCTTTTTTTTTTCAAGGTTGCGCTGAAAAATTAATTGAGCGAGTTATCCGTAACAGTTGTGAGCCTGTGGTTCTGACAACTAGACATCCTAGGTCTTCACTTGCAGTTGTGGTACAGATTGTGCAGGACTTTGGATCAGTATCCTTTAAACTTCATCATCATTGACAGTCACAGAAAAATATGATTTAGCTAAAAGTCTTAGTTTTTTCCTCTACTTGTCTGATAGGGATGTACAGAAGGACAAAAAAGCTAAATTTGTTTTCATCAAAACAACTAAAAGAACTACAAATCAGCCTCTGATTGTTAGGTTGACTCATTTTCTTTATTATTTTTCTTGGTACATTTACTTTTCCCTACCTTGAATAGCATTGTTAGCTGGTTTGTGAATAAAGCTTTTTTTGTTGTTAAGGGAAAACTGACTATAGCAAGGAGTATTAGTATTTAAAAATCAGCTTATCATGTTTTTAAATCTCCTGAGTTATAACCAATGGGTCTTGAAAGTGTTGACTTAACAAACCAGAATCAAGTAATAGCTACTACTTGGAAAGTTAGGTTGAAGAAAATATCAACTTTTGTGAAGCTTTATAAGGATGGAATATCAGCTGAACCCTCTAGGGCTGGTTATAAAACAGAGTTTAGCCAGTGTTTAACAAAACTGTGTTTTAAGTCATTCACAGTTTGGTCAACGCTTTTATCTAAACGCCAGTTATTGTGAATAGTCTCATGGAAGCAACAGGGTAGACTGGAGAAACATTTACCTTCTTAAAATAACCCACTCAGAAAGAGTCCAATGTTTTTCTTAAATAGTTAGACTTTGTTTAAAAACTACCCCTTAGCGTTTGGCTTTTAGGGGTGGCGAATGGTAAAATCTGAGACTCGCCGAGACGCCGAGATCCTAGTTAGAAATCCGAGCCTGAGACTCTTTGGTGAAAAGTTGCGAGACTCAAAAAAAGTAAAAGCAAACCATGAAAAAACGAGACTTCGAGACTTATCAAAAATGCTTCCGAGATTTTGAGATCCTGCCAAAATTTTCCAAGACCCACGTTTTTCGAGGTACCATTCGCCACCCCTGCTATTTCAATAAGTTTTAGTCTTAACACTCTGAAAGTATACATGCTGGCTTTCCTTAATGGTCAAGTTACTTTCCTGTGCTATAAATGCTGCTTGTATGGCTATGGTAGATGCTGGATTTCCAATGAAGTGTCTAGTTTGTGCAGTGACATGTACCATGAATGAATCTGGTGAAATACAGTTAGATCCTACCTCAGAACAAGAAAAGGTGAGAACGTTAGGCAGAGAATTTACACTGAGCATTACATAACTGACACTTAAAAGTATGCAAAATTAATACACTTTGTAAAGAACACTAATGTATGTTAAGAGCCCTTCTCGGTTATCATCTCCTAGTTTAAAAGCCTGCCTTATATAAGCTGATACCTTACGGGTGAGGACAAAACATGGACCCAGTGTCCATGGACCCCCCATTTTGAACCGGGTCCATATGAAGCACTTATATGGACCAGGTCCGTCAGGTCTGTGGACCCACTGTAATGGACCAGGTCCATATAGACACTTCTTAAACAATAAACATTACGGCCAGCTACAACCTACAGAAATAGCACAGAAATAAGGTTTGAAGGTATCGATTACTGATATCTATATATGACTAGCCAACCTACACCTTGTTGTGTACAGTTTGGCACTATTGTTTGATGCTGTATATTTTGGTAAATGTGTAATGTTTATAGTTCATTTTAAGGGTTGGGAGACCAAAAAGAAAGTGTCCATAGCCAGTCCAAAATAGGGGTGGGGGGAAGGGGAAGGGGTTCTGTGGACCCAGGTCCATGTTTTTTCACACCTGACACCTCCTGTGATGCATGTAACACTGGCCATCCCCTGGGGGGACCCAGGGTTAATGCAACCTTGCATGGGGACTTTGACTTACCGTGTGGGATTTGATGGATTATTTTACCCTAAAAGGTATGGGGAGGGCGTGGAGAATGAAGACTTCTATACCTCACAGAGGCATTCACCTGTGCATTAATTTCATACATAATTCACTGGGCAAAGGTACATTTACTAGATAGGCATATTTTCTCTGAGGTGCCAGTGTTAGGCATGGATCTCCACGAGACAAGGTTTTCCCTGAAAATTCTAGTAGCAGGAGAAAGGTTTAATGCTACAGGAGAATATTTTATAAGGGGTTCCACATCTAAAAAAAAACGAGTCATAGGCCACCAAACATTAGCCGAGGAATTCTGCATAGTAAGTGGAGAATTCTCTGATCTCCAAGGCCTAATGAACACCCTGATTCTAATTTATTTCTGCAGAAAGCATCGGCTGTTGCAACATTTGCGTTTGATAGTATTAACAAAAATGTGATGACATCATCAACAACAGGAAGTTTCACACTGCATGAGGTAAAAACACATCACTATAATTTATGACTTATTTCCCGATGTCAGATGATGTTTTAAGATATTACTATCATACTATCAATGCTTTAATTAGGGCCCATGGTGCTCATTACATCAGTTTCTGAGTCAGAAAAGGTTGCAATAATGTGAAGGAGAGTGCTTTATTGAAGGAGGGCCCTTGTTTTATATTTAAAATTTAGACCTCTCCAGTATACATGCTGTAACAGTAAACTACTAACAGATTGTATCTGTAATGGAAAACCACCTCAAAGTCTTGGGGCATGTTTCTCCAAAGTCCTGATAATTAACGCATCTGGAAAGCTGTTGTTGTTTACATTCAAGATCAAGGTTTCAATAGTTTTGCAGATAACATGAAAAGACTATCAGTTAACCCATTCGCTCCTGGAGATTTTGCCGAAAAACGCATTTTGAAGCTAGTCGAGTGGTTTTCTGGTCACTGTCGTGCTATAAAGAGCTAAAACTTACCACAAACCGGTTTACAGGTTGTACACTTGATGGCCTTCTGATCCAGATGCAAAATATCAGCTTGCGAAGTTCGGGCATGCGCAGAAAGCAAAATTTTGACATAGTTTTTGGGTTTAAAAGTGACACAGCAGTCTTGACTTTTACTTTTCCCTTTCTCTCCTCCCCTCTTTTTTCGCTTTTCTTGCCTCATTTTTTTTTTCTCTTGCTGGGAATTTAGTAGGCTTCATTTTGGTGGGAATAGTAAAATCCTTTCGAAAATCCTAGAATCCTAATCCACTTTCCTTTCCATCCACCCGTTACCTTGTTCTAAAAGTACCTCTAAAAGTCCAGTTACAATGTACGTTTTTTGCCTCTTTCTCCGGTGTCCTTGACAGAATTATGCTCATTCTGGTATGGTTTGAAAGATCTCTTCACTCTGCACAAGCTACCGGACAAAGTTGTCCTTGACCGTTAAGACTGATGACGTCACAAAGGGTAGAAAGGACGAGGATCTGCATGGGCAGTTACGGGCGGTTCAGGGGTGAATGGGTTAATGAAATATTTTAGAATGGTTCCTTAGTTGGGATCTGCTCTCTCATTCTTTAGATTTTGATTTGAATATATTTGATTTCAGGCCTGAAAATTTGCTATTATTTTTCTTGGTACATTTACTTTTCGCTAGGGGAAAGGGGCCTGTTTCTCAAAAATCCCACTGAAGTTCTGATATTAATATCTAGCCTGTGTACAAACACCCCTCCCCTCAGAAAGGGGAGGGGGTGTCTGTACACACGCTATTAATATCTTTTTATCCTACCTCTTCACCAAATATAGTATTATTATTAAATATATTATCAAATGATATGTTATATTTGCGGGAGGGTTGGCGCACTTATTTAAAGGGAACACTTAATCAATACTTTCAATGAGGGTGCTAAAGAACTTAATTTGAAGGGGACACGTATTTCAAGGAGAGTGCAAATTGTAGTACTGACAGTAATTTCCATCTTATTTGAACAGTATAATCAGTGTTTAGAAGCCTGTCGGAGTGCTGCCGACAAACTGTTTGAGTTTTTTAGGTTATCAGTGGAGAGGAAGCTATCTAAGGTATTCTTTTCTTGTCTGTATTCTTAGTATTGTAATTTTTTTTTTTTTTTTAAATTATGATCATCCTATGGTAAAGCTTTTTACGCATAAAACGTCATCACTGAGATGATTTTATAACCTGGTGAAGAAAACCTATGATTTTGAGTGGTCAAATAGGATGATTGACAGAAACAAAAGATGTGTTCTGTTGGTTAGCATTTTGAATTCGGAGGTCGTTTGTTTACAAAAATGTAGTAATGTAGACAATTATGGGAATCGAATTTTCCCGAATACAGTCCGATAAACGATAGAAAAACTTTTAAAATTTTCACAGAAAGGTAGTTAACTTAAGGTTTTTATTACTAGGTCAAAATTAAAATTCTCAGTATAAAAATTTATACAAAGGCGTTGTCTTTTGCTATGGACCGCAAGGATGGGATGGATTGAAACTGGAAAGTGTTGGGCCAACATTTTCAAGTTTTAATACTATGCCTGCAAAACTCTCCTAAATGGTTTTTGCTCCAAAGAGCTTCCCCGTATCCATCATACGGGAGTTAGGTCCTCTTCCCCACCCACCCAGGCCTGTAATATCTGCATTGTAAATTAGGTATGCATGTTTGTATGTGTGTACATATTAAAGTGGAGAATAATCTGAGTCCAACTGCATAGCTTAAAGAGGTGATATCATGGGCATATTACTGTTTTAGGTCATTTCTGTTCTGAAGCCATTACCAAGTGCCCCTAGCCATACACAAACTGCTCCTGTAGAGTTATGTAGAAGATATCTGGGAAATTTCATTACCCTAAAAGATACTTTTTTTAACACATGAACCAATTTCCGGAACCGTTTTAGAGCGGTATTTTTTGAAATGCGCGAAACTCGTTGAAAATGAATGCTGAAAATTAAATACACAATAAGACGGAGTTTGAAACTCTTTTTTTGATATTTTTCTTTAACTGCCTTAAGAGATTTCCTTATAGGTAAAAACGGTTTTACATCCTGAGGACCTTAAGTGAGAACAAAGTCTGCAATGTATAACCAAAAGTGGTGCGAATTTCATCGCTGTCTCTTTCGCTCGGGTATTCCCCGGGAATGTAGCCTCCCACGCAGGCGTTTTTAGGGGAGCTCGTTTTTCATCCCTTCCCACAAACGGCGTTTGTAAGGAGGGATAAAAAACAAGCTCTCCTAAAAACGCCTGCGTGGGAGGCTACCGGGAATGCGGATCAAGAAAATACAAGGAAGTTGATAGTTTTGCCCTAAAATAATGAAAACAGTTGAAAAAGGACACAAGGAACAGTAGGAAGTTTCATACAGTCTCCAGTAAGCAATGTCGAACATGATGCCGATGAGGTATCTTCTGTATACAGCATTTCGATTTAATATACCGTAACTTACAGTCAGGTTAGTGAGATACGTAAGGCGCATACTAGCTAAGAGATACATTTGATATTTTTGCTCACGATACCCGTCACCTTGGCACGCGCTTTAAAATCGATGGGGTAGAAGCAATGTCACATGGTATTTCAGAGAGCAAAAAAAAGGTTTAAATTTTGCGAATTGAAGAAATCGCGGTCGAGGTATTTGCGGTTGAGTTTATTCTCTCAAAATCCTAGAACAAAACGCTAGGACAATAATTTAGACTAACAAAATGTACAGGTCGAGTTTGGACAAGTTTCACGTCATTATTGCTTGGTGTGAGGACATCTACGATCGCAGTGGCGGATCCAGACTTTCAGATAAGGGGGGGGGGGGCCATCGAGACCGGGAGATAAGGGGGGGGGGGGCGGGGTTCAAAAAAAAGTTTTTCCGGCCCTTCGGGCCTCATTTTGGTCTAAAAATAAGGGGGGAGGCGGGCTCCTCCCCTGGATCCACCACTGGATCGCTACCTCTCTCCTCCGCGGAGGCCTCTTTTTGTTGTGTCACGCGCTTTCTATTTTTCGATTATTGCTATTTTTTATTGGGATACTCAGCGGAAGCCTCTGCAGAGGTGAGAGGATTGCAACTGAATTAGAAAAATGAGAACGATCATTTCCACCCATAATTTCCCATTATCGTTTTTAAGATAAAACGTCCTTCATTTTCTGTTGTCAAGAAATAAACAAACACGACCAAGATTTGTTTGCTCACCTGTGAAACCACGCGATATTGCTTTTATCCCATCAGTCCTCAAGCGCGTGCAAAGATGGCGGGTACCGTGAATAAGGTCTACCTTAGAGCGAATTTCGTATGACCTTGAAAAATGGTTTCGGTATAGTGTTCGTTATTTTTTCTATCAGCCAATGGATGAAAAGATCAAAACATGGACTCTTCGTTCCCGCCAAAGAAAATATGGAGAAGGCATTGTTCGATTGGCCAATCGTGTTGCAGTATGATGTCACGGCGAAGTATCGATTCATTTCTAGAAAGTTCTCAGGCATGAAGTTTTTTCACCCGAACGTTCGCTTAACCAACCAAAAGCCACGCGCGTTTGTCAGCTCCTTTCGATAAACCAATCAAATCGCTCTATTTCCGTTCATTTGTTATGTCTGTTTTGTTCGTGCGTTTTTATTTCAAGGTCTTACAATAATCGCTCTGTGAAAGTGTGTCGATAATACAATCAACTTAAGTCTGTTACTTTGTTAAATTTGAAATTAACTATAACAACGGTTCCTTAATATTATTTTTTAAAACAGGACGCGAAGTTCATGGATCTGAACATCGCTTGATAATGATACGTCTATTGAGAGACTGATGTGACAAAGATTTCCCTGGCAAAACAAGGTTACTGTCGAAACAGATAGTGGACAATTTACCTAGCCTTTTCTTTGCTGTGTACAGAGCTGCTTGGAAATTTAAACAACACTAGTAGTATACTAAGAATAAACTAAATAGCAAGTTTGGTCTTCAAATCTTTGGTTTTTGTAACACATTCGAAAGATGTTCAAGTCACCAAGAAGGCGAGGCAGCGTGGCCGACTGGCTGAAGACTGGCTGGCGCCTTGGACTCGCAACGTGGTGGTCCTGGGTTCTAGTCCCGCTCTGACCACCAGCTGGTTTATTGTCAGTTGTCCCGAGTTAAAATCCTCGGCTATGCTTGTAAATAGCCGGCTAGTTGACTCCTGACAGTTGGGTTTTTTAATCCTATTATGTTCTGTTTGGATTGTATGTTTCTAGTAATTGGGCTGCTTGTGACAGCCTTATTTTGGTCCTCTACCCTTCCGGAAGCCCGCTTGTTCATCCCTCAGCTGCAGGTCTATTGCATCATTCAGCCGCTGAATGATGATCATCGTGAGAGTCTTGTTTGGGATGGATAAAAGTGTGATTCGATTCCCCGCCGATTATTGCAATTGTTGAGGACTTCTTTCTTTGGTATTTATACAATGATGCCCTCTGTTCAGTACGTTGGTATCTCCCTTCTTTCCCATATGGTTGTTAAGAGTGGAAGAAGTGTCTCGGCTGCAAGCTCTAGGTCTGCTGTGAGCAATTCTGCATTGAGGTTTTCCTGTCCAGGGGCTTTTCTATTTGGGACGTGATTGCTCATATGATCTATTTCTTCTCAGGTGGTGCATTGTATTAACGTCCATATCATGCTCTGCTTTTTATCTGCTGACGTATGCCGTTAGCCTTGAACGTCGTGCTAAATCTCTCCAGTTCCTCCATAGCGTGGCGTGAAAGCAGACCTTCAGATTATTTGGCGATTACGTTATTTTTTAGGGCACTTTATTCCGTGGAGGAATCATGTTTAAGGGAGCTGAATTTTGAAAAATCTCTTAAATTAACGAAAACAGGTCTTCTCAGAATTACACCTTAATAAGTCTGAAACATGTTGGTTTGCGTTAAGACACTGCCTCACGTTACAAATGATGAGCAGCTGGATAAAGCTTTGTATGCCTGGTTTATTCAGCAAAAATCAACTGGAAAGCCGATTTCAGGAGAAAGCAAAACATTTCTCAGCGCAGTTAAACGCGGAGCTTATTCACAATTAAATTTTGTTTTCTTTATTCTCTATTTTTACATTATTGCCTCATTAATATTCATATTTTCGATTATTCGGACTATTTTGTCCAGTCCCAAAGAGTCCGGATAATCGAGGTCGACTGTAGAGGGATAGAATAAATAGAGAATAAAACAGGAGTGTGGAAATGTGGTATTTTCGGTTTTTTTCCTCACTTTGGCCAGTTGTTTAACATCGTTGCCGCTTCAATTCTGCACTTATTACACCAACGGGTAATTCGGCAGCAAAGTACCAGCTTCATATCGAGTTTAAAATAACTGCACCTGCGGTCGTCTTGTCGAAGTGGCGCTGGTAAACCATTTCAAACGGCTCCAGCTTAGGGGACCGTTACAGCCCTCGGAAAGGTGCCTGTTTCTGGCCTTTGCACACAACATCCGCGCAACATCGATCATCATGTCACGAAGACTATCGCGCCGCGAAACGATCAAAAAATTCACTTGCTGTCCAAGCACAGTTTGTCTTTGGCACAATATATAATGTGTGGAAAGGAAGAGGGAAAGGAGAGGTGAAGTTTAAAGTTTTCGCTCTAAGTTTTAGGGTTTTTCATCACCTACCGGGCTCACGTTGAAAACCAATTTAAAGTTGCCGGTGTTTTGAATGTTAAAAGAAGATGACGCTGACCACGAAAATACTGTATCGCGCCTTCAAAAACGATTTCTGCGGTGCCGCTAATAGGCCAATCTCGTTCCCAGAGGTCGCGATCCTTTTGGTCAGCGACAGGGATCTGGACCTCTGGGATAATCCGTTTGCGACAACAGGATTCTTGTTGTCGTCCCAACTGCGCAGGCCCGAACCAATATGAGCAACTAGAAGCAGGAAACTAAGATTTTTATGCAGTTGACACGCACCTATGGTAACGTGCTCTTTGATTGACTGGTTTGTTTGATAGGGTTGCGAGGGTTGTAAGCCATCCGATTGGCTTATTCAGTATTTCGCCATGGGGTTGTAACATAAACCACGCGGCTCATTCTGCTCATTTCGTGCACGATTGTCTTCATCATTGGCGTTTGGCTTATCTGTAGGTTTATTCACGCTGCATTTGTTCATTCTTTCTTGTGCCAAGAGGTTCGCTATTATTTTCTATTTTNAATGTTAAAAGAAGATGACGCTGACCACGAAAATACTGTATCGCGCCTTCAAAAACGATTTCTGCGGTGCCGCTAATAGGCCAATCTCGTTCCCAGAGGTCGCGATCCTTTTGGTCAGCGACAGGGATCTGGACCTCTGGGATAATCCGTTTGCGACAACAGGATTCTTGTTGTCGTCCCAACTGCGCAGGCCCGAACCAATATGAGCAACTAGAAGCAGGAAACTAAGATTTTTATGCAGTTGACACGCACCTATGGTAACGTGCTCTTTGATTGACTGGTTTGTTTGATAGGGTTGCGAGGGTTGTAAGCCATCCGATTGGCTTATTCAGTATTTCGCCATGGGGTTGTAACATAAACCACGCGGCTCATTCTGCTCATTTCGTGCACGATTGTCTTCATCATTGGCGTTTGGCTTATCTGTAGGTTTATTCACGCTGCATTTGTTCATTCTTTCTTGTGCCAAGAGGTTCGCTATTATTTTCTATTTTTATTCTTGTATTCGTTCTTGTTGTCCAATCCATTTCACTTTGCAAGTGCAGTTTTCTTGACTGTTATGTGGTCGATTCCTTCTATTCGTCTCACTTCGTTCGGGAAAGGTATTGTTAACGCTGTTTTTTTGCTCGTTGGCTGTTCGTTGTCTTATTTGTTCCATTTTCTCGTTATTCATTTCGTTTCCTTCGTTGCTGCTATTCTGTCCTTCTTTCTGTGTTAGCCACGTGTGTCGGCCATGCGTTCGTGCATCCAAGAGCACGAAAAGAGCACTTTAATCGAACGAAGCCTCCAAATTGCGAAAAATGTGGTTATCATCTTGGCGGAACAAAGGAGTCGGCCCCCAAGAAACCAAAACGGAACTGTCCCATCGCCGTTTTTTCGTGGGTTCGATTCACTTTTCTTGTAAGACGAGCACGAAGGTTGATCGTTGTTTCGTCGTAAAAGAAGGAGACAGCGTGTTTTGCACGCAAAAAAGGGGGCTGGTAGGCCTAAACGACTTTTACCTCATGCCAAAATGCTGGTCGTCCTAATGAAGTTTTTTTCCTCTGCTGGGTAGATTATGCTCTTGAAGGTTCTACATTTTCACTGAGCAAATGTGATTTCAGCCGCTTGTTTCACACTGAGAGGTCATAGCACACATATACGGATTTACTGTGGTTTTTGTTTCTGGTCGGCAGGATTTGCCCTCTGATGCAAGAGCATTTTCTTTGACCTCAGTCTTTTTATTACGGCTGAATAAGGGTTCTAATTTTCTCCGAAGAGTCTTCTGGATCTGAATAACTAAGCGTTTTTCTTTAGTCCGTGAATGTAATGTTTTTCTGCAATGGTTGTATCACGCTGGGCACAGCTCGTGAGTTTTCTTTGCAGGATTTTAAATTATCACGGATAGTGATTTGCAGACCCAAAATTAAAAGAATGAAGTGTAGCTTAAACTAAAGCTCCATCAACAATAGAGAAATACATTGTGCCTCAGTAGACTCCACCTTAGTGTTTTCCTAAAGATAATGTGAGTCTTGACTGTAGCGCGTATATCTTTCCTCGGTAATAGTGTTTGGACTGTTTTGTTATTGCTGATCAGACAAGACCATGGTTTAGGTTCTCCACGCGAGCCTCATCAGTCAGGGGCACCCAACGACAATTTTCGAAAAATATCTGTTCGGAAGACGATTTGAGATCTAGAATTTTCGGAACATTTTTTTTTTAAAATTTCTTGCTTGCCTGCCTCTCCTACGATTTTCGAACATCTAAAAAATGGTGTAATTGCCCATTTTTAACGGATTTTAACCCTAAATAGGTCCCCTAGACTTTTCAGGAGCCTTTTCTTTTGCTGAAATTTTCGAAAAGGTAAGTTTTGATCCCTATAATTTTCGAATCACTAGACTTTCAGCTAGGAAAGCCGAAGAGATGAAAAATTTTGGGGGGGATAAAAACATGCCTATATCTACCGTTTAAATACTAAAATACGTTTGACAATGCTATGTTTAAGTGGTTTTGAACTATATTCTCGTTGGGTGCCCCTGATCAGTTGCCGGGTTGGCTTTGTACCTCAGTAGTTGCATTAACAAGAGCAACTTTCGTTGTTCTTTTTTTTTGTAGCAAGAACGGTAAAGCCGCTTTGTCCTTGAGCATTAATACCCGCGTGGCGATCCTCTTCTGCTTGAAGCTAGAGGTGTTTCTTTTGTTGTTGTTTTATTTTTATGTAAAATGGGTCTACAATGGGGTTAACAGGCCTGCACGACTCCCCAGCGCGTGTTTAAAATAGCCTTTTTCCAGGCCTTTTTCATAGTTTGAGTCTTTGAGCGACCGCCTGTAGCGTTGCAGTTGTGTCCTCCGTTGCAGTTTGGTCCTCTCACCTATCAACCAATAGAATGCGTTTTTATTTCTTCCAATTAAAGTGTAGTCTGCTACACAGCCGTTTTTAGTGTCGTCACGCAACGCTCCTCCCCACTAACGAACCTCCTATCCCTACACAACTACTAAAACGAGCGCTCAGGCTAATTCTCCAAGAAAATTCTTTCCAGTTTAATGGAAAAAACTACCTTCAAACACATGGTACGGCCATGAGCACGAAAATGGCAGTCGCCTTTTCTAATATATTCATGAACAAGGTAGAGACGGAAATCCTTAGC